CCGGAGCCCGAGCCCGAGCTCAGGCCCAGGGACCGGCGCGCAACTCTCCACCCCGGCGCCGGCCGCAAATGCCGCCTGCTCCGCCCCGTCCGGCCCCCTTACACCTCCCCTTCCCGGCCCCGCCCGCCCGGCTCCGGACAGGCCCCAGCCTCAGCCCCTCCCTCCGCGGCTGGACCCAGCCCCTGCACGTCTTTGGCCCCAGTGCAAGACCGGAGGGAGCGGAGCCTGAAAGATCGCGGGGTTCCCGGGGGTACCGAAGAGGAGGCGGACCCGAAGTGCCTGGGGGAGGGGGCTCTGCCACGCCAGAGTTGGGAGGGGTGAGCTTTTAGAGAGCCAACACTACTTGAAATATGGAGGGAAAGTATCGAGAACTGCTAAATCTAAGAGAAATGGGGGAGGGGTGAAGAAGTTGGAGCGAATACCCTCATCTCTCTCTCTACAAGTTTAACCAGCTAAAGTCAAGAGTTCTACCAACTCGGGAAATGGGCGAGATCTGATCCATTCCGGAGAAGCTATGACTAGTTGTGACTAGTTCAGTTCCAGACGGCTATTCTCAGTACTTCTTCCCTACCCCCACCCCTCCACCAGCCAACTGCAGTGTTGCTTGTGGTTCTGCCGTAGGACTCCGGCTCGGCAGCAAAAAGTTTGGTTCGATGAGCGGGACTTACCAGCACAGTTGCAGGGAGCGGGGAGGGGGCTCGGGAAGCTCGGAGGGTGGGCTGGGGAGGTGGGGGGAGGGGGCCCCGCGCCGCTCCCGCGGTCTACAAGGCTGGAGGTCGGTCCGGCAGCTGGACGCTGCAGCCGCAGCTCCGCCCGGCCGGGAGCTCCGCCCGGCCCAGCGCTGGGGCTCGGGCCGCCCCCTCCGGAGCGAGCCCGCCAGGGCTGCCGAGACTGAGGGAGGGGGCGGAGTCTGAGGCGGGAGAGGGAGGGACTCCCAGCGGGCGCGGAGAGATTAACTCCTCGAGTGAGTGGATCCGAAGGTAGGACTTTCTTGAATCTCATCCTTCTCACTGTTGCTCTGACCCCTTGCCCCGGTGTACCGGGGTGGAGTCATGCTGCAAATAAGACCGGGGCGGAGGGGGACCGGGATCTGCCTGCTTAAAGAGGTTCGTACTTGGAACGAGACTCTTCTCCCTGGGGGAAAGCCTGAGCTACTAGAACCCAAAGTGTACCTGAGCCCTAACTCTCCCTGTAGCCCCTCACCCCCTACCCGAATACGCAGACTGTCACCAGAGACCCCACGCCCTTGGTGTAGCTGAAGGTAAGCAGCGGGGAGGATTTCTTACCCAAAAAAGTCATCTCTCTTCCCCTCTCTAAACTACTTACTCTTCTTCAAAGCCTCTGACCTTTCAGAGACTTCCATGCTCAACCAAGCTAATCACTCATGCAGGTACCAAGAAAGCACCAATTTTAGGGCCATTTACCCAAATTAGATACTGGGGGAACTCATAGCATATTATAGTGAGTTGGCTGGGACCTAAGCGACAATGTCATTTGTTCAACAAACATTTGAATGCTGTTCAGAGGTCGTTAGGTGCTGAGGACATAAAAAGCCTTGCAGGACCTCTCAGTCTAGCAGCCGCAGCAAGACAGTTAAACCTATAATTGGCAAGGGGCGGCAGCGAGGCTCAGTCAGATAAGAGTCAGACTCCTGATTTTGGCTGGGGTCACGATCCCAGGGTCATGAGATGGAGCCCCGCATTGGGCTCTACCCTGAGCATGGAGCCTGCTTAGGATTCTCTCTCTGCCCCTCTCCCCTACTCGCACTTGCTCTGTCTCTAAAACAGACAACAAAAAACACCCATAATTGGCATAAAATAGTACTTTAATAAATAATATAAATAATCCTCTCATTTAGATTAAACCTTCAGTATAATCATTCCCATGAGACCCAACCAAACCACAAGAATCAAGGTACCAGCCTACCAATATCCCCCAGATACCTGTTGAATTGGACCATTACCGACTACTTTGTGGATTTCGTTCTTAGGGAAGATGTGCACCCTCTCCTGACACTCAGGTTCTTTCCCTGCTGTTTGCTGCCAGCAATGGTAAGACCTCAAGCTGAACTCAAGCTTAAGTGCTTGGTTCTAAATTCCAACTGCCCCTTGGAACAGTTGAGTCTTCATCAGTCCCTGAGCTCATTTTTTGTTCTGCTCAGTCATATAGATCAAAAGTTACTATGGGGACACTTGGGTGGCTCAGTCTGTTAAGTACTGACTTCGGCTCAGGTCATGGTTCTGGAGTTCAAGCCCCGCATTGAGCTCTGCACTGACAGTGTGGAGCCTGGTTGGGATTCTCTTTCTCTCTCTCTCTCTCTCTGTCCTTGTCCCTCTTGCGCATGCTGTCTCTCTCTCTCTAAATAAGCTTTTTTTAAAAAGTTACTATGGACTAGTTTGTATCCTCTAGAATTTTCAGTGATTTGGAGGGGAAAATTTAAAAAAAGAGAGAAGGGGGGGCGCCTGGGTGGCTCAGTCGGTTAAGCTTCCGACTTCAGCTCAGGTCATGATCTCATGATCCGTGAGTTCGAGCCCCGCGTCGGGCTCTGTGCTGACAGCTCAGAGCCTGGAGCCTGTTTCAGATTCTGTGCCTCCCTCTCTCTGACCCTCTCCCATTCATGCTCTGTCTGTCTCAAAAATAAACGTTAAAAAAAAAATTTTTTTTTAAAAAGAGAGAAGGGAGGATTCTTTGGGAGTCATATGTTCATTATCCTGATTGTGTGATGGGTGTTATGGGTGTGCACATATGTCAAAACTTATCAAATTGTACACCTTAAGTATGTGTAGTTTACTGAATGTCAATTATAACTCATTAAAGCTGTAAAAATGTAAAAGAAAAAAAAGAAACTCAACCATACCTTGAATCCTAATGGTTTCCTAAAGAAGGAATCTCCTTTAATAGCTAATTTGAGGGACACCCGGATGGCTCGGTCGGTTAAGCCTGCCTCTGATCTGTGTCTCCCTCTCTCTCTGCCCCTCCCCCACTCACACTCTGTCTCTCTTTCTCTCTCTCAAAAACAAAATAATAAATGTTAAAAAAAAATTTGTTTAAATAGTTAATTTGAGGTTGGAAGTTCCAGCATCCCTACAGGACAACTGAAAAGTAGGAACCAGGATGCCTGATTTTGATCCTGTATGCCAGCTCAGTAAGGACAAGAATCTTTTCTGAGATGTTCACTCTATTCTGAGCCTGGCCCGTAGTAGACTCGTTCAATGTCAGTTTAATGAACTAATGTTATCAGACAGAGGAGGGAGACTACAAATCCAGACCAAGTTCCAGACGGAAGGCATTCAAAGAAATAGTCTGACCCTATCGTGGCAACCAAGCTTCACCTACTCTCACCCATATACCCCTACATCTGACGCCTGAAGAAGGGGGATGCAAAAAGAGGAGTAAGAAGTCCCTACCTAAGCCCCATTCAGCAGACAGCCTAGAAGGGATAGGGACAAACTTAGGACTAGAGTTACTTTGGGAAAGAAAGATTTATTTTTTTTAATTTTTTTTTTAATTTTTTTTTAACGTTTATTTATTTTTGAGACAGAGAGAGACACAGCATGAACGGGGGAGGGGCAGAGAGAGAGGGAAACACAGAATCAGAAGCAGGCTCCAGGCTCCGAGCCATCAGCCCAGAGCCCGACGCGGGGCTCGAACTCGCGGACCGCGACATCGTGACCTGAGCTGAAGTCGGACAGCCAACCGACTGAGCCACCCAGGCGCCCCAAAAAAGATTTATTTTTGAAATCAAGGAAAACTTCAGGGCCTGGGGTCGTTGGGGTAAGAGTTTATGGGGTTGTACAGAGGGACACCATTTGGGAAGACCAGGGGCTGGAAACATTCCATCTTATGTTAGCATATCACTGACCATTCCCATAACTCAGCCATCCTGGGATCAGCTCCCATTACCGAAGCTGCTTCCTGACTCATACTTGAACTTAGCCAAACCATCTCCCCCTGTCTGGACCCCTCTCTCTCAACAGTTTCTTCATTCTTCCCACCCTTCCCACCACTCCATAAATAATGATTGTAACAGTCCTTTGAGATTCTTTGGTAACTCAAAGAAAAGAGAGGTTCTGTTCCCCTTAATGGAAAGGACTCAATCTTTCAGATGCTCTTCCTCTGGCAGCTGTACCCTCTCTTTCTCCATCAACCCCTCCGGTCTCCATTCTTCACGCCCAAAAGCAGTCCTGTGCCCATTTGCACAAATCCTAAAGCTGACCCTCATCCTCTCTAGGATGTGATCTACACCCCGCTGCTCTCTTCTGGCCCAAACCCTGGAGCCAGGCCCTGCAGCCCCCCTGTGGGCCCCTGTCTTCGAAGCAGCCCCTCCACACTCTCCTCTCAACCCAGGCAGGCTGTTTACTGCCAAACCGTGGCCTCCCACCCAGCCTCACCCAGCAGGGGGTAGGCTGGGAGAAGGACCAAGGAGGGGGCCAAACGCAGTTCCAGACTGGGGAGGAATTTGCTGCCTCTCCCACACCTAGCAGTCTGGCTGGTGGAGGGACACGAAGGGGAGGAGACCCCCGGGAAGTGGCCAAGAGAGATCTACGGTTTTCAGTCTGAGAACAGAACTGGAGGGAAGAAGCCAGCTCTGTGTATCCCTTCCTCCCTTCCCCAGGAATCAGACTTTTAACCCCTCTTGGTACCTGGGCAAAGAACACGGACCATGTGAGCCCTGTGCCTCAGATCTAGAAGCCCGGTTTGACACACCATCAAATATTTTAGATTCTACATCTTGAAGAAACTCCAGGTCTCTCAGTCTCCCCTCCTTAAAAAAAGATAGTGGATGCAGGAATCACAAGATAGAGAAAAAAGATTAGAGACAGATTTGAGAAAGAGAAAGAGTGTCGATCTCCATTTTCACAGGGTGCTATTTTTCAACCTGTGGGTCTTGACCCATGGGCGGATGGACGTATTTTGAGCAATATTTTTTTCAGTGGAGAATAATAGCAGAGAACATCCTAGAAAGAAAATAGTAAGGGTAAATACTATTTCAGGTTAGATGCGCCACGATGTAGTGTATTTCTTACTATGGATCACAATTGGGGGCCATTTGTGATTTTTAAAAAAAGTTTCCTTCCCCCACTCGCCTTTGAACAGAGAAAGCAGGGACACCCAACACCACACCGCCTCCTGCTTTATTTTCCATAGAGCTGGCCTCCGTGCATCTCCTCTGGTCTCATGCCGACTCCAGGCTTCAGGTTCTCAGGTCTGGGGTCCACAGTGTCATGTGGAGCCCCACCCATGCCATCCCCATGCCTGGCCCCACCCTCCAAAGCCTGATGGAGCCTCTGGAAGCCAGGGATGCTCTTACTCCCTGAAAGAAGAAATTCAGGAGTGAAATGCACACATTTCCACCTCCTCAGCCTCCTCTCACCCACGCCAAGATGCTAAAAGGGACGTCATCTACCTGGACCGGAGAAGATGCACAATGGCAGCAGGAAGAGCTGGGGTGACTACCCTCTGAATGAATGATGTGCAGGTGAAGGAGAGACTCTGGGGTTCACAGAGTCCCACCCTGCCACTCTGCCATCGTGGCTGTCTTTCCCTGGCGTCTCTAGCCCGGGGCCTTAGGAGAGCTACTCAACAAGTCTCGGTCCCCATCCCACGTTGGTCCCCTTCAGTCTACTTGCCCCCTGCCTCCCGCCTCTACCCAGTGATTCCGCAGATTGTGTCCTCTCAACTGACCTCGCTTCAAATGATCTACACCCCACAGGGCTCCCTAATGACAGCCACCACCACATGGGGCAAAAAGAGACTCCAATTCCCTCTCTTTTCTTTCCCAAGTCCTTTCTCCAGGCTGCTTCCCCCATCACCCTTGACCCACAACTCACAACAGAGAAATCAGAAGAAGTCGCACACCCCTCAGGGCCCCGGCTGCCTCACTCTTCCTGTATGCTGAGGATTCGCAGCAGAATATTATACACATCTTGTTCCATGTAACCCTGTAAGTGACAGGAAGGAAAGAAAAGGAGATGAAAAACAGAAAATGGGGAGAGACAGATAAGGAATCGTTCTGTGCTTTAGTCGAATGCTGTTTTACTATGTCCCCTGCTTTATAGTATGTGACTTCTCTACAGCTGTTTCCTTGTCTTTCCAAGGAGATAATGATGTCTACTTTCCGGGACTCCTACGAGGGTTAAAAACTATGATTATAAAGCAGAGCACAACAAATGTTCGATTCTTTGTAGTTGTTATTCTTCCTAAGCAAGGAGCAAGCCACCCACCTCTCCTTGGTGAGGGATAATTTGGCTCAGGATGAAACTGAGAAAGGGCATAAGAGACAGGAAAAGGCCTTGCAGTAGATCAGAGAATTGACGAGGAAAGGCAAATGCCTCTCCCCTCACATCCATGCACAACCACTCTTGATCTGCCTAATGAGATCCGGAGACCTGGCACTGAAACATCTGAAGTCCAGCTTTCTGGGGCGCCTGGGTGGCTCAGTTGGCTAAGCAGCCAACTCCTGATACTGGCTCAGGTCACAATCTCATATTCGTGAGATACAGTCCTGTGTCGGGCTCCACGCTGAACAGTGGAGCCTGCTTGGGATTCTCCCTCTCCCTCTCTCTCTCTCTCTCTCTCTCTCTCTCTCTGCACCCTCCCCTCAAAATAAATAAATAAACATAAACAAACAAAGTCCAGCTTTACACAAATGACAGGTATGTGCAGGTAGGAGGAGGGACCCCAAATGCAATGCCCCCTGCCCGACTCTCTGTCCCTAGACCCTCCCGGGCTCACCTGAGCGGCATTCAGCAGGTGCTTCCTATAGGCGGAGATGATCTCTTCATGGTTCTTCTGGGAATCCTGGGAGTGAGCACCGGTGAGAGATTATGCACCCACCCCACACCCCAGCACACCCACCCTGACATGTCACCACCACCCTCCCTCCCCACAGCATGAGGAACAACAGAATGAAGTGGTTAGCTGTGCCACGTGATCTCCCTCGGCCCATCAGTGGCCCAACCTGGACCCCCACCTGGCCAGGCCTCTGCAATTCCCAGAATCTCTCCCACGCATACCTCACTGCCATGGGCCACCCACCCTCTTCCCTAGTGGTGTCCATTTCCCTGAGGGCCAAAACATACCTGCAGCTGCAAGGCAAGGCGAGCATTTTCTCCCCGCACTGCCAAGACCTCCTCTGAAAGCTGTTCCAGCTTCTTCAACAATTCCTTGATCTAATAAATAAAGGTTAATTTAAAAAAAAAAAAAAACTTTTAAAGGGGCGCCTGGGTGGCTCAGTCAGTTGGGCAACCGACTTTGGCTAGGGTCATGACCTCACGGTTCATGGATTTGAGCCCTGCATTGGGCTCTGTGCTAACCGCTTCCTCAGAGCCTGGAGCCTGCTTCTAATTGTGTGTCTCCCTCTCTCTGCACCTCCCCTGTTTGTGCTTTGTCTCTCTCTGACTCTCAAAACATAAATAAATGTTAATAAAACAATTCCTTGATCTGAGGCCAGAAGGAAAGAAAGGGGACCAATGAGGCCCAAGTCACTTCCCACCCTGACACCACCCAGGGTCAAGGTCAGCTTTCTTTTATTGGGTATAGAATATGTGCCGGAAATTTTACACGCATTGTCTCAATTCATACCCAAAACAGCTCCTCTTCTGTCCCAAGAAGAGCAAGACTTCTCTGAGAGAAGTGTGACTATTCACATTTCGTAGATAAGGAGACCAAGTTAAGTAATTTGTCAAGATCATACAGCTAATAGGTAACGAAATAATGATTTGAACCAAGATCTCTTTGAATTCATTGTTGGTGCTCTCCACTCTGTACCGAATCCTGATCTACTCGTGGCTGCTGACCACCGAGGGAAATAGAAGTGAGTTTTGTTTTTGTGGTTTGTGAGGCTGAGGCACAAACTTGGTTAATGGTAACCAGCGGTAATAGAAACGGCGGTAGTAGGGACACTAAACATAGCTCGCTTTTATTTACTGAATGCTTACCATTTACCAAAAGTTGTTTTGAGTATTTTAAATATAGTATCTTATTAATGTAATGCTCATGAAAACCCTGTTATTGTCCCCATATCATAGAGGAGATTATAGATGAGGCCTAGATAAGAGACTTAGAGGTTCAGATAACTCACCCAAGATCAAGCAGTAAGTTTTGAAGCTGAAATTCAAATCCAGACGATGCCAGACCCCACAATTTTCTTTTGCACGTTTGTCTACATGCATCTTCTCCTTCAACACCAACACAAAATTCCTCCTTTCTTTACTTAGCCCCACCCACACTGATTCCTATTCTGCGTAACAGTCCTTCTCTTGGTATGCACTCTACGTTCCAAAAAACATATACGCCCTATATTTTTAAATCACTCTACCTTTGACCAGACACACAACCTTTAATAAGACAACTGATCTCATTCATTTCATAGGCAGTTCTAAAATCACTACATCCATTTCTAAATTGATTTTTTCAGATTCCTCAAACACGTCTCCTAGAAACATGGAGACTTGACACTGACTATTGGCGTAGTCGCTGGGAAACTCCGGTTTCTAACGCGGGGGTTTTCAAACTTTTTAATTTGCATGGGGGCTCTCCCTGTTGATGGCAATCTTAGGTAGAACTCGTTGGGACTGAAGTGGAAAGGGGAGAGGGAGGTGTTCCAGGCTAGCCTACTCTTCTAAACCCATCGGCCCCTGAGTCACCTCCTCCGAACCCCAGCAAAACCACAGCAACCCACCCCGACGGACCTCAGGCCTCTTGCTGGGCTGATACAGCATCTGCACTGTTGAAGAGACCCGTGCTAATAAACCTTAGCAGTCCAGGGCCTGGGCTAGCTCTGGCCTGGCCGCCCTGCTTCTAACCCCGAGTCCCACATTCGAATACCTAAGCCCCCTCCTCTCCTCTATCTATATCTTAACCTTACCTCCAATCTCAACCCCAAATCCCCAAGAGCCCGGAGAACACAGCGTGGTCCTTGCAGATGACGGGAGTTCGGTTCAGCGGTATGAAACTGACTAAGCCAAGGCTGGTGCGTTGTCGGCGAACCCTGAGCCGCACGGACACCTTCCCCGATGGCTGCTTCGCCCCGCTCACCTTGGCCTCCTTGTCCCGGCAGGCCCCGATGAGATGCTCCACCTTGTCCCTGAGCACCTCGGCCGTCTTCTCAAACTGCTGGGAGCGCCCGCGCAGCTCGGCGGCCTGGCGCTCCTGCTCCGCGGCCCGCGCCGCCAGGTCCCCGCTGCGGCGCCGCTCCTCCGCCGCGGCCTCGCGCAGCCGGCCCATCTCCCGGCACGCCGTGTTATACTTCTCCAGGAGGGCCTTCAGCTCCTGGCCCCAAGCCTGGGCCTGGGCAACCAGCGAGCCCCGCGTTTTCTCGTGCTGCCGCAGGCTGGCGGCCTCACGGGCCCGCAGCTCGGCCACCTCCTCAGTGGCCTGGTACAGAAGCTTCTTCAGCGTCCCAATCTCCTGGCTCTTCCCGCTCATGGTGGCCTGGACGGCCCGCAGCTCCTCCTCCAGCTTCCCCAGGTCCTGCTCCAGAGCGGCCACCTGGGGGGAGACTGGGCCCTGTGAGAAGGTGCCGGGTGGCTCCCCGCGGGGGCCGGGGGACCCGCGCAGCCGCCGGTTTTCCTGCTCCAGCCGGGCCAGCGAGTCTTGGGCCTCGCGGTGCCCGTCGGCCAGGGCGCGGATGCAGGCCCGCAGCTCCTCCAGGGGTTCGGCCGCCGTGCGCCCCGCGACGCCCCTGCCCACCACGTCCGGCGGCAGGTCGTCCCACAGCCCGCGGAGGCCACTGCTCTGGGAGGCCAGGCGCTGCCGCAGCTGCTCGGTGGCCTCCTTCTCCGCGGCCAGTTCATCTGTCAGCAGCCCCACGCTGCGCCGCAACTGCCGCAGCTGGTCCTGCGCCTCCGGTTTGGGGACGAAATCCCGCTGCAGACGCTGGCTCAGGGACTGCGGCTCCCCCTGCAGCCTCTGCGTCTCCTGCCCCAGCTGCCCCAGCTCCCCCAGCAGGTTACTGTTGCTCAGCCGCAGGGCCGCCACCTCCTTCTCCAACCGTCCCTTGGCCGGACCTCCTCCAGGCACCTGTCCCCTTGCGGGGGCCCCTAGAGGCTCTCCGCGAGCCCCAGGAGCCCCTGGCCGCCCCCCTTCATTCTCTTCGGAGGTGGTCTCTGGGCCGGCGTGCAGGGCTCCCTCTCTGGGCCGGGCAGCGGAGTCAGGGCTCACGGGTAATCCCGCCTTGGCCCTGTCCAGCCTCACCAGCACCTGCTCCAGCCTGGCCTCCATCTTCTCCCAGGCGGCCGCCGCAGCCTCGGCCCGGGGTGTCCCCAGAGCTCCCTCCAGGACCGGCCTTGACAAAGCCCCTCGGGCGGCATCCTTTTCTCGCCACACCGCGGCCAGCTCCTCCCTCAGTTGTAGCAGGAGCTGGTTCACGTCTCCGGGGCCCACTGGTGCAGCCGCGGTGCCTGCTGGTTCAGCCCCTGGGGCCCGGGGCCCCTCTTTCTGGCCAGCACGTGGCTTGTCGGTGTGATCAGGGCCAAGGGCCTGTCCACCGCTGGTGGTCAGCTGCTGTCCTGTGGCTTTCCCAATGGTCTCAGACCTGGGGCTCTGGGGTGGCCCCTGTTCTTCCGGTTGGCCCCCTCCAGGGGCTTCATACGGGACCTCCCCCGAGACCGAATCCTCTGCTTTCTTAGAAGCTAACGCCCGTTTGGCTGCAGCTGCAGCTGCTTCCTGCTGCTGCTTCTTTAGTTCTTGAATGCGCTCGGCCAGAAGGTCCAGGGGACAACCCTGCTCCATGCCATCTCCTCCAGGCCGGAGACTAGAGCCCTGCCCTCCTGGAGTCCCAGGCTGTGGTGATAGGAGAAGCCCCAGCTCCTGCACCTGCTCTCGAATCCCGTTCTCCAGGCCCAGGCAGGCTGCAGCTCGAGCCTCGCTCTCTTCCGTCTTTCGCACCAGCTCCTGCTCCAACTGAGAAACCTTCCTCTGCTCCTCTTCATACTTCCGCCTCCACTCATCCGGGCATGGGTCTTCCTCCTCCTCTTCCTCGGGCTCCGCTCTCCACGGGCTCTGGGGTGGAGAACCCACCAGAGACTCTGATGGGGAGGCCTACATAAAAAAAGGAATAGTGAAGTCGGGCAGCTAGCCCAACCCCCGGACGACCTTTCCTCTCTTAGACTGTCTTGATGCCCCGAAGACCACTCCCTGGGAGATATCCCAGTGAGATAGCCTGGGGAGGGAGATGGGGAGGGGAAGGTCAGAGGCAAAAGGCACTTAGGGTCTTACCTGGGATGTAAGATCCAGATGTTGAGCAAGCCCCTGACCTATACAAAAAAGCAGGGGGGGAGATGAGAGCAGAGATAGGTCCTCTTCCAGCCCACACTTTATCTTCAGACTTTTTCTGAGAGGAACAGTCCCTCGATGCAATAACCTTCCCACACATGTCTTCATGGTGCCAGGAGCCACCCCCGTTGAAAGGGTCCCTGACTATCTAGCATCTTCGGTTCACCATCCCAGAGATCGGCCAGCTCATTCATTTTGACTGCTCGCTTATTTATTGGGCACTGTGTCAGGCACGGTTATAGGCACCAGGACCTCACTGGTGAGCAAAACAGCCAGTGGCCGGCCTAGTGGGGGAGACGGAGACTGACCGTCAAATCTCACGAATAGATTTACGATCACAACCCATAAATGCTAGCGATAGTACCAAGCAGAATTGCCTTCAGCGAGACAAGGCTGCATGAAGGGACTTTGTGACCATGCTTTTGAGAATTTGGGTTCATTTCACAAGTAGCAGCAATAAGTAAATCAACATTCCACTAGCTAGTGACGATAGAGGGATTCTTTGTCCAGGAACAAACGGCATTCTAAGAAGCTTCTGGGATTCTAAGGCTATCCGGGAGAACTTCGAAGTTACGGAAGGGAACCTGCCTTACCTCCCTGCCGCCCCTGCCGGAGCAGGGCCTGCCGGAGCAGCCTCCACAGCTCCCTGTCCTCCGAGCGTACAGCATAATGCAGAGCGTCGTGCCCCTCGTTGTCCACCGCCCCTGCGTCTGCCCCGTGGCTCAGGAGCAGCTCGGCCACCTCCGCGCTGCCTTTCTCACAGGCCAGGATCAGAGCCGACCTGTGGGTTGGGACAGATCTGGGCATAGGCCTTCCCCAGGGAATCCAGGAGTCCTGGTTCCAGAAATTCCGCTCAGAGTCAGATCTCACTCGGTGCAGCAAGGAGAACCACAGACCAGTGCCAGCCAATGACAAAGCGTTCGAGCAGACCAGAACTGTTCAAATGCCGTTCCTTGGAGGTGCAGCATCAGAAAGCCGGGGGCCAATTTGAAGGGCTCTGTGTTCATCTACTTTCTATATTGAGGTGCTGCATGACTTCTTTATTGGCAAAAGGATCCCATTGCTTAGAAGATAGTTTGAAAACCAGTAAATTAAGCAAATGAACCCAGAAGCATCGATTCCACTCCCGGAGTCATCTGTGCCAGGAAGTCATCTGTGCCTTCTGAGCAGCTGCTCAGAAGGAAGGAGGTTCCCAAGAAAACAGAGACTAGTCTTCCTTCTTCCCCAAAACACAGACACACAGACGCGCGCGCGCGCACACACACACACACACACACACACACACACTTTGCCCAGGGGCTCCTTTCTAGAGTGGTCAATGTCTGGATTTGGGAAGGGGGGTGGGGAAGGCTCACTTGGCATCCTTGTCTGTGACATTAACCTGGGCACCTCTCTGCAGTAGCTGTGAGCAGATAGCTGCATGGCCACCCAGCGATGCGATCATCAGGGGTGTACGTCCGTCCTGCACAGATTGTGGGAAGGGAGGGGAGTTCATGAGGATCCAGGGGGAGCCAGAGGCTTGACAATTCTACCAACTGCCCTCTCCCGACATCTCTCCAGAAAAAAGCCCAGATCCAGGGGCTGAATACTCCTTTTGGGTGAGAAGTCCTCCAGGAGATAAGGCCTAACCTCTCCATGAAGAAGAGGAGGAGGAGCAGAGGGAGAAGGAAGAGGAGGTGTGTGCAGCCGCGGTCATGGAGCTGAGCCAGTCAAGCTCTGAGAGAGAGAGGGAGAGAGAGAGGGAGGGAGAGAGAGTAGCAGCCTCCCTGCGAAGGTCACCGCCCAGTGGACACTCACATTATCTGGGACGTTCAGGAAGGCTTCGTGGTCACACAGCAGGAGAACACTTGAGGCACAGCCAGAGGAGGCTGGGGGAGGGATGTTGGGTTAAGAAGAAGCAGGAAAGACACCTAGTCAGACTATGACCCAACATCGCCGCCAACCATTTCAGCAGTCAGCCCTGGCCTGCCCTGCTCCCCAAATGTTGTCTTCCCTCCCCTTCCGCCCGCTGGTCCCTGCAGCCACCCCATTTCCCACCGGTCCCCTGGCACATACCTGCCCAGTGCAGCGGACTACGATTCTCTGCATCCACAGCATCTTCGTTGGCACCATGCTGCAAACAGCCACAAAGGAGAGCAGCATGGGGCATGGCGGGTCCACTCTTATCACATACCCCCTCTTAGGGCACCAGCTTCCATAGTACTATGGGGAGGGGAAGGAGGACCGTGGCTCCGGCCAACTACTAGGCAAGCCCAATCCACCCCTGGTGGATGATAAGCAGCCTTGAAATTCAGCCCTGGGTCCTAAACCTAAGGCCCAAGAAAAATCAGATTATAGGCAAAGAAGCACGTTAGGGAAAATGACACCTGGGTCCATGCCTGGGACTTTAGGATCATAATCGGGGAACTTGGAAAGGGCCAGGAAGAACAAAAGCAGAAGAGCCATTTGCCCCGTGGCCTGTTGAACTGTGCCTTTTGGAGACCAGTTTCTAGATTGTCTGCATGTCGTTTCACCTATGTATCTGTCTTAGTGCTCCTAGCCTGCAAGCTCCTTAAAAACAGATGGTAGAATTTGGGGTGGATGTGAACACCTCTGTCCTCCGGCCACCTGCCCAGCCACTCAGCAGTTGGCCTCCGCAGGGGCTCTGCCAATGGCATGTGAATGACGGGCAGGCAGTCCCTGGGAACACAGCTCTATGACCGGCCCTCAAGGGCAGCATGAAGCATGGTGTCCGCACATAGTAGGCGTTACATAAAAGTTTGCGAATGAATGAATAGGTGATTATCAGCTCTCTTGCTGATGAGAGGGGGATGAGAGGGGTCCATTTGACCAAATGTTGCTTGTGACTATAAGACAAAGTTAGAAGATTCTAGGCCCACTTCCTCCCTTCCCACAAGTAGTATCAAGAGATTTCTGTTACCTGCAGCAGGACTTTGACACATTGTGGCTGGCAGGAGATGGTGGCCAAGTGCAGGGCAGTGCTTCCTGGAAAGAGAAAGAAGGGGAGATGGAGGGCGGGTGGCCCCATGCAAGCCGATGACTCACAGGGAGGGAAGGCAAGAGACGCACAGATAATCAGGGGGAGATTAGAGAGAGAAGCAAGCTCTCAGCCCCATGGGGCCAGAAATTCCTGTTCCCCCAGTGCCTGGTACCTGGCAGAGGTAGGAGTAGGGGTGAGGTAAACCCAGAGAAGGGTTTGCAGAGAGGGGAGCCCCTGGAAGGATGCTGGCCAGAGCCGGTGAGGAAGATGTGGGGGCCACAGTTAGAACTTCCGGCAGTTGGTGTCCCCCACCCCCCCCCACCCCCGCCATTGCTGCTGTAAAAGGAGAGGCCAACAGCTCGGCCCAGTGCATGGTCTAACTCACCATCCTCGTTTTTGCTGTTGATGTCAGCTCCATTTGCCAGCAGGATAGTCAGACATTCTGTCAGGCCTTTGGAGGCTGCCAGATGAAACCTGCCAGAATCAAGGCCAAGGGACAGAAGGATGGAGGGACCAGTAGATGAGGGATGCGGGAGGCTTTGTAAGCACTGCCTGCTGTACTCCTTCACCCCCAGAGCCAATCCCCACAACAGACAGGGGAGTTCCCCGAGCCTGACTTTCTGAGGAAAAGGCTATGTGGCTTACTGTCACAAAGGCAGAGGAGGCTGGGAAGCAAAGACAGAAATAAGAGCTACAGATCTCAAGCAACCTAGACTCTTGCAGGGGTGTCCAGGGAGCGCATAGCTAACCACCTGTTGCTCTGACCACATGGGCCTTTACAACTGGGACTGTCCTAGAACAAGGCAGCCAGAGAGCAGAGCAGCGGACTGGACATTTGAAGGCTCACTTGGGCAGAGACAGGGATAATGTCCCTCCTGTCCGGATCACTCTGTCTAGCTATGTGATGCTCATGGCTACCACTTGGTTCCTAATGGCTCAAGCTTACACACCCTCCTACCCTTGCAATAAATAAACGTTGTTGTTAGAAATACACCGTTTTATGTTTGTTTCATGGGCTTCCTGTCTGGTTTTTTTGTTTTGTTTTTTGCCAGTTTTGTCAACCTGGGTTGTGAGATTGGACTCACGATAGCTTCTTCTCTCACCATGTGTAGCACTCGATCCATAGCAAACCCTGACCAATACGCTTTCCGATTAAGACAAAAAGGGCTCTGAGGCTGTAGGCACTCCCTGGTCCTACCTGATCTTGGGGTTTAGGACTTTCAAAGGGAACCACATATCAAGGGGAGGGAGGGTACTTGAGAGGGGCTACTCACGAGGACTGGCCGCTCGAGTTCAGCTTGGTGGGTCGGGCCGACTTCCTCGAGGCCAGGGAGGCCACGCGTCCCACATCCCCCCGCTGCACTGCCTCCAGCAGCTTCTGGTCGCGGCGGTTCCATTTCTCCACCTGGTCCAGGGCCGCAAATGGTGCGAACAAAGGGGGTGGGGTTGGAGTGGAAAAAGGAAAGAAGGATGACAGGCAACAGAAGAGAGACATGGCCGAGGTCCTTCCAACATGCCACAAGTCCCTCAGCCTAGATCATTCCGTGCTGTGCTGAGAAACCACTGCTGGTTATTGTCGGCCCTGTAGACTACTGGGTTTACGGTCATGTTCGAGTACTGGATGCAGAGTATTTCAGATGTCTTTTTTTTTTTTTTTTTAAATCATCATATGTGATTATTGCTGTCAGGTGCACAAGCTCAGAGCGATCCTAGCCACGACGACTTTCCCTTTGGCTCTCCAGGTCTTGCCCGAGCAAACTGAACCACACCAACCACTCCCAGCTGGGCTCACGTTACCGCTCATCTCCCCACGCTGCTTTGCTTCTTGTCCTCAGATTTCTGCGACGCCAAGGCACCTAGCTTTACACCACGGCTAGGAGTCCAAATACCTAGCCATACATGCCATCTCTACCCCTCGGCTTTGGGCCCCCAACCTGGGAGGGGAAGCAGAGTTTCTGTTTTCCCATCTCATTTCTATGCCCTTTCCGTCCCCTTCCATGGCACAGCCACCCAAAGGCAAAGATAGGTCTCTAGCTAGGCTTGAGGAGGCAGCTCCCGTCCCCCTCCCTCCCCAGGCCTCCCTCCTCTTCACCCTGGCAGGGAGCAGCTGTCCCCGGCAACAGCCACACCTGCATGCATTGTTCCATCATTCCCGCTTGACTTTTGCAGGTGGCGGGGTAATTACAATAATTGAGGTATGGCAGGGCGTGAAGGAGAGAGAGCTGTGTGGAAACACCCAGGGCTGAGAGCACAGAACAGCCTGATTGGATCCAGAGAGGGGAAGGGATGCAAACATCTGGGATATGGTGAAAAGGGTCCTGGATGCACATTTTGTCAGCAGGCCCGAGTTCGGGGCCTGGTTCGGCCACTTTCTCACCTTTGGGACCCAGAACAAGCGACGGAACACCTCTGTTTCCCCATCTATAACGTGTGGGAAATAATTACTACCTCATCACGCTGTGAGCATTAAATGAGCTAACCTCATATGAGGTATATAAAATCTCTTTGTAACCTGTAAAGAACCCTACTAGCGAGCGTGTGTATTCTTCTAACCAAACAGGAAGTGGGAGGGGCTGGGGGGTGATACATTACATTTTATGAGGTGTAATCGCAACAAGAAAGAGGCTTTGGGAGGAGGTGGAAAAAAATAGGGTCTGTGGCAGCCCAATAACTCATTTTGGGATACTATTTTCAAAGCCAGGGCAAACTATGTTGCAAAAGCAGGAGAGATTTGAAACTCCCACGAGGTAAGAGTGATCTCAGGCTAGCACAGCCCTTGCGACTCCATACAGTCTTTTTCAAGTGCTGTTTCAATTAGCCTCTCAACATCCCTGGAAAGCAGGCAGGGCTGAAATTATTTGATCTGACAGCAGAAGAAACTCAAGCACACTGTCGCTGGATAACTGTACAGGGTCACACCACAAACTAGTGGTGAAACTGAGATCACAACCCAGGCCACCTGACGCCCAATGCTGGTCCTCACCACCAGACCACACGCACTACTGTGGAAGAGGGTTTACTTCTTTCCACGTACGCAGTCTAAGGCGGCCTCCGGGGCAAAGCCACCCACCCTCAGACGCTACTCCCTGCACAGAGAAGAGTCTCCAAACAGGTTAAGTCTCCAAGGGCAAAATAAACAAAGTGTCTGCTCCGTATACCAACAGACTCTGGGATGTAGGAACATGTTATCCAATGTCCCTTGAGGACGAGTTACAGCCAGAAGTTAGAATTACGCCTCCACCGCAGGACACTGCCATCAGCTGATCTCAATCTGAAGTCCTCTGCTTAAAATCCTGATTCTAGGGGCGCCTGGGTGGCGCAGTCGGTTAAGCGTCCGACTTCAGCCAGGTCACAATCTCGCGGTCCGTGAGTTCGAGCCCCGCGTCAGGCTCTGGGCTGATGGCTCGGAGCCTGGAGCCTGTTTCCAATTCTGTGTCTTCCTCTCTCTCTGCCCCTCCCCCGTTCATGCTCTGTCTCTCTCTGTCCCAAAAATAAATAAAAACGTTGAAAAAAAATGTTTTTTAATCCTGATTCTAACACGTTCTGTCCTTGTGAATTTAGGCATGTAATGACTTCTCTGAACCTCAGCTTCCAAGTGATATAATGTGCTATAAAGCACCTAGCACTATGCCACATAGTGGGTGCACAATAAATGCTAGTTCCAATCCCCATCCTTCCTAGCCTTGCTGGGCACATTTTGGATGTGCCAGAAATTCTGGGTTCAGAATTCTCCATACAGGGGAACGGGAGGCAGGGATCTTGCTCATATCAGCCAATGCATAAGAGCCAGGCTGTAGAGATGGTGAAGGTGGGTCTTAGCAACATAGACACGTTTCTTTCCACTAGAGAGCTCTAAATCCACCTGATTTTTTAAATATATATATTTTTAAAGTTTTATTTATTTATTCTGGGACAGAGAGAGGCAGAGAAAGGGAGAGAAAGGGGATCCCAAGCAGGCTCTGCACTGATAGCGCAGAGCCCGACCCAGTGCTTGAACCCACGAACCATGAGACCTTGGCCTGAGCCAAGATCAAGACTCAGATGCCCAACTGAGCCACTCAAGCGCCCCTAAATCCACCTTGTTTGTTTCCTATAATCTTGTTACCCTAAGAAGAATTTAGAATAGGTGGAAATTCGTCACGGCCAAACCTCTGTAGAACTAGGATGAAGGACAGAGGATGCTTCCATATTCCAAGATCCAGTCCACTGCTCACCCCAGCTCCTTGGACAAGAGGCACTGGGTTGCCATCACAGCCTCAAGGGAGCAATCACCACATTAATCAGCAGACTCAAAAACAAAGATAAGCTTTGTATTTCTGTAACCAAGATTAGGGGCCTTTGTACAAGTAATTGTGGCCTTACCTTATCTCTGGCTGTGTGCCCATAAGCATCCTACTGAGATGGGACACACCAACAGGAGAGAGAGAAAGACTGGCTATATGTGTAGGACAGGTGCGTGGAAATGGAAAGGCTGCCTTAGAGGAAGCAGGAGCTGACTCTCAAAAAAAAAAAAATTTTAATGCAATTGACATTCCTCTAAGCTGATTCAGTGCCAACTGTTGAAAGCTATTTTTTGGTCTACTTCCTACACAGGCAGAGAAAGCTAATAGGTAAGACTCCCTCAAAAAGCATCATCTATCAATCAGACTAAAATAAAACGAGACCATAAGAGTCGGGTTTTTATTCGTGTCTTTGTTTTGCTCTTTATATTCTGGATAACTTAGATTAACTTTAAAATGATCACTGATCTTCGCTCCTGATCTCAATCTAAGGGTGCGGGGATCTGGCCCTGGACCCGGGGGTGGGAGTGGAGGCAGGCAGGGGCAATCCTCCGGTGAGACTTGGAAGCCAGGCTTTGGGAGTGGCCAGGAAGGCTTGTTGCATTGTTTCTCTGACAAACATGTTCAGAGTGGTTAGCCACCCAAGGAGTGGAGGAATTTATCATAAGGGTGAGGAAGTTTCAGGAGGAAACAATTTGCAGCTGACACTGGCCTATTTTTTAAGCTTTTTGTGATCCATCCTCACCAAGGCAACTGTTTTCTTTCCAGCTAGATAGTTCTAAATCCACCCAATTCACTTCCTATGAGCTTGTGACACTAAAGAGAGTCGAGAATGGGTGGAAATTCTTCATAGCCAAACATCTGTAGAGCTGGCGTGAGGGAGGGATGTTTCCAAATTCCAACATTCCATCCATTGCTTACTCCAGCACCTTGGAAAGGAGACACTGACCAAGGATTGGAGAATCAGGAAAAATGAAATAATTTCCCCATTCCTAAGGAGCAGGCCGACTGCACAGACCGGAAAGGGAAGGGCAATGTGGAGGACTTTCAGTGACTAGGGAAGAGTCCGTGTGAATCAGAAAATCATTATCAGTTAAGACGGAATCTGAGTAGCTTCAGTTTCTGGTACCTATCCTAGTCAGCCAGTAAATGCATTTTGATTGGCTGATCCATGTGTGGAGATGACGGGAGAAGCAATCACAAGTGGGACAAGGACAGGCCTCAACAGAGTTCCTACTCTTGCCTCATAGCTCACTCACGTCCAGGCTTCTGTGGCCTGCCCTTGCAGAGCGAGCTGAGCTGTTCTCATGTTTGCTCCTGAGGGACACCACTAAGTCAGGTTAGGCTAAGTAACATTCCCACAGGTCGCTGGCTACTTCACTTCTAAATGAGCCCCAATCCCAATCTCCACAGAAAATGCCATCCCCCAATAGGGGGTCTCTCTATAAGAGATCTTCAGGGAAGAGGCAGCTACGTCCTCTCCGTGCCCCACCTTCTGTAATCGGCCTCGTGTTGTTTTCTGGGAGAACATGGGGAATAGAGTGACTTCTACTGGGAGCTCTCAGAGAGCATCCACTATACCCTCTTCTCCTATGGTCACCTTTCCCCAACTCAGTCCAGGAAGCAGAGAGCACAAGGCCTAAGCAACTGAGTAAGGGTTCTCAATGAAGGAAGATTCTGGGGAGAAGCAGGCAGGAGGTCTTGACTGGTCCAAGAACCAATCTGATAACCAGACACTGCAGTGAGCTGGCCAGGGTGGATTCTGCAGGCAACTTACCCAGTTTCTTGGGGAGCTGCCAGACAAGTATGTCTCCTCTACCAGTGCCTGCCAGGCTGGGGGACTGCAAGATTAACCCACAGAGAGCAGGCAGAAGGAGGTTGGGGCAAAAGGGGGAAAACTAGGGTTGACAACCATTGGGCAGAGAGGGGCAGGGAGCCGAAGGGGGCAAGGAGGAGGCTGCTGGTGTGGGAGTACCAATTGGAAAGAAGTCTGGAGCGATGTTGGAGAGCCACTGGTGCTGATGAGATAGCAGGAGTGGAAGAGGCCGGGGGCGGGGGGAGGGGGAGATGGGAGGCAGGGGCAGAGAAGATTTTGAAGCAGGGCTAATGGAAGGCACTGGCCTGGGAGTTTGTTGGGCCGAGAGGAAACAGCAAGGATAGAGCCATATGAGAGGGCAGGGTTGTAAGGACAGATCAGGGCTGAAAATGGGGCTGTGGGGCAAAACTTGGGACATAGAGTGGAACTTGGGGCTGAGCAGGGGCTGGGGATAGAGCAGATGCTTGGTGTTCAGTGCTGTGAGAGAGCAAAAGTAGACACGGCCTTCAGGGAGGGGCAGGGGCTGCAGGAAATATCTTAGAAGTTGGGGGTGTACATGCTAGGAGGACAAGAAAGGGCCAAGAGAAAGGAACTTGGGGGAGGGCAGACGTTAGGAAGGCAAGTCGGCGGCTAGAGGACCAGGGTCTTGGGGAAGGCAGGGCTGGCGGGCTGCATTGCGGGAGTGGAAGAGCTGGAAAGACCGATAAAGAGAAAAGGCGATGGTGCATGAAGATGGGACTCAGGACTTCTGTCACCACAGGGCTTGGACCCCAGCCCCATCCTCCCGGACATTTTGGCACCTACCGCCACCTGTGAGCTGGAACAGGAGAAGATGCGCTTCATGGCCAGGGCCAGAGCCACGGGGGGACGGGGACGCGCGGAGAACGGGGCTACAGGTTCCCGAACCCACGGGACTCGGCTGCGGCTCTGCAAGAGAGAGCTGTCAAAAGCAGAGTGGGACCTGTTCCAGGACCCGCCCCAGGACCCGCTGGGTTCAATCAGATACGAGAACCCGAGAACTGGCCTTAAAACTCCGCCCCTGGCCCTGCCCTACTCTGACGTTGCAAAAGCAAAAAACCTGCAGTCTTTGGCTGCGACTTGGGCATGGTCTCAAACCTCGCCCTCCCAAAGCAAACCCGCCTCCGGCTCCAACCCACTCTATGGCAGAAGGTACCACCGGAGCTCAGGCTAAAACTCCGCCCCCAGCCCCACCCCTCCGCAGTTTCAGGCTGCGGCTCCGCCCCCAAGCCCCGCCTCAGCTCCGCCCTTTCAGGCGTGGCTTCAGGTCTGAGCTTCGCTAGGTCGGCTGTGTTCTTACCAACTGTCGCGTTTAACCACTGGTGACGACGCTTTTATTATATCCAGAGACATCTGGCCTGCTTAATTACCTCTGCTTCCTTCCCCCATTCCCTGACCGAAAACCCAAGCACAAAAGAGGCTTTGAAGAGAGCAATTTGGAAACCGCAGGAGAGTGTGGTGCAGAGCAGAGGATTGAGCTGGGATGATTGCATGACCCTCCGCAACCTGGGGGGGAAAAACCTGAGGGAAAGGAGATCAGGCTTAATATTGTAGCAAAATCTGTAAGTTAGAAAATAGCAGTGGGGGAGGAGAGAATTCTTATGTTAAGTAGCTCCCATTTGAAATAAACCCCACAAAACGGTCTAAACTATTTCCACTGCCCTTTAAATTCAGATTCTCAGCAATTCTTGAATTGTCAGTTGCCACTAACTGGTCTGCCCATGTGTCCTTTTGATAAGGGATAGGAGCAGAAAAATGTTCACCGTTAGCCCAGAAGGCTTACCTATAGCCTACATAGTTTCAATAAGAATCAAATACCAGCTGGTTGCTACATTCTTAAAGGGAGGGTCTCATGACTGCCTATAAATCTCACTGATCATTAATATTGAACTCAATGATAAGCACCAGAGAAAACTTGCAAAAGTACTTTTCGGAGTAGAAATTTGAAGAAGGCATTTTTATGATCTAATACTCCTTGCACATCCCCTCCCCCTTGAGCACTAAGCATATAACCACCAGCTTCATTCACACAGCAAAAGAACAACTCTTTCTGCTCCCTGTCCGTGTTACTAAAATAAACTTGCTAAGTTGCAACATACAACATCTCAAGAATTCTTTCTTGACCGTGTGCTCAATGATTC